CCGCACCTTTCTAGTTATATTTTCTTTAGATTTAAACATCAAGCAGTTACATGCTTTAAAAAAATAAAAATTATGATGTATCAGTACCCCTAGCACGAACCATTATCGAATTCGAATAGTTTGCGAGTCCGAAATGTCATTGTCAAATTTTGTATGAAAACTTGAAAATTAGCTCCATATCGTACGTAAAGAGAACTAAAAATCAGTACACATTTGACAATGACATTTCTTACTCGATACGAATTCGATTTTTTTTACTTTTCTTTAAGAATTTTTATAAGGTCTATTTTTTCAAGACTCAACACCTACATTTTATATCAGACGGAAAGGGGATAATTTTTTGCGCATTGCATATAAAATCGATAAGCTGAAAACACGATGGGGGCTCTAACATAAAATAAAATAAATATGTTTATTCAAATTGGAAGTATAAAACGAGACGTTATTTTCAATCTAATATATAAAATGCTCGTGTCACGGTGTACGTAATTGAAGTACTCCGAAACAGCTCGATTGATTTTCGTGAAATTTTATATGCATATTCAGTAGGTCTAAGAATCGGACAACATTTATTTTTCATCTCCCCTAAATGTTAAGAGTCCAACCTTAAATATTTTTGTTGGACAAAATTTTTGGTTGTATGTATTTTTGTATGATACATCATAAATAATATGTAGATGTATCATACAAAAATACAAAAAAAAATGTTTATTATTGGACTTTTTGAGGGCTTCTACATAGTTTTCTACCACCAACCTTTGCCTTTGGATATTAAATGTGCACAGACGAGGGACTCCTTTACTATTAAAATTAAGGAATATTTCCTCAAGCTGGACTTTGCCTGATCTTTTTATGTGTTCATTACTATTTATTGTATTTTATAGCTTCCTTGCATACTTACTATCTTTATATATATAATTCTTCTGAGAGTGTGTATGTCACTGAACTTCTCTTAAACGACTGGACCGATTTTGATGAAATTTTTTGTGTGTGTTCAAGGGGATCTGAGAATGGTTTAGATTCACAATTTTGTCCGCTGGACAACCCCTATTTTTTTAGGGCGGTACGAAGTTCGCTGGGTCAGCTAGTATTATATATATTCTTATATTTACGTTTACTTATTTATTTTGACAATGCACTAGCCCGCTGTTTCTACTAATCTTATGGTATGGGTTCATTTAGGCAAAGGTTGCCTGGTAGAGATTGCTACCTTAGCAATAAGGCCGCCTTTTGTATTTTTATTCCTGTGTTTTATGTTCTCTGTATTGTGTGTAATAGTGCAATAAAGAATATATTTATTTATTTATTTAATAGGTACACAAACAGAGTGCAGTTATCACATGGTTAAAAAACATAAATTTGGTAAAAATCTAAACTGCCATCCAAAACAGTGTACACAGCATAAATAAAATCATGGCAAAATAAAAGCAAAACAAAACTTTAAAACTAGGCTAAATCGTTTAACACTGTTAATAAAACGAGGTAATAAAAATAAAATAAAAAACGGAAATTAAGGATCTTGAGTACCAGGGCCGAACAAACTAGAGATGCTTCTTTTGAACACTGAGAAACGGGAGTTGAACACATCAATACCTTTGTTGTTCCTTGAAAATTCGTTATAAGTTCTACACATTCTGACTATAGGATTATAATAAGAGGTGTTATTTTTAAAAACTTGAATTGCGAATGTATTTGGAAGGCGGGATCTATACAGCGTATTAATAGAGAGTGACGAGAGCAAAGCTGGCGCATCGATGTATGAGTGCAGAATCTTATGAAGGCAAATTAAATCGTACCTTTTACGCCTGGCTTGTAGGGAGGCAACACGAAATTTTGACAATCGGTCTTTATAATTATTAAGGGAACGACCATATTCAAATTTACGAGAAAGGATTCTCAGGAGTTTCCCCTGAACACGTTCAATTCTAGTAACATGTACATCATAATAGGGCGACCATACAGGGCAACAGTATTCAAGGATACTTCTCGCCAGACTGAAAAATAGACAGATAATGCTTTGTGGCTTTTTAAATTGCTTAGTAGATCTAATGATAAATCCCAGCATACTGTTACTTTTCTTTATAATATGATCGTAGTGAGGACGGAAGCTTAACTCATCATCGAAAAACACACCTAAATCTTTTATTAGCGTTTTTCTGCTTAAAATGTTATTTTGTATAAAATAGGTATGAACCACCCTGCTTCGCTTTCGTCTTGTAAAGGATACAACACAACATTTATTAACGTTTAGGTTCATTTTATTCGATTCACACCAGTTTTCAATAACATCGAGGTTGTTTTGAAGAGCCTCACATTCCTCACCGTCACCAATGTTAGTAAAAATCTTTAGGTCATCTGCATAAAGAAGGGCATTCATTCATTCATTCAATCCCTATTTTTTATGGCGGTACGAAGTTCACTGGGATAGCTAGTATTCCTATATTAATTTTTAGCTACGGCTGTAGACTTCTATAAGGCTTATAATACTTCATCGGTTGAGTCACCCAATTTAAGCGAAACACCTGATGTGCCACTTTTACATCTCTAAGAAAGTTTTAATAGGTACCAAGAGGACTAATTAACTCAAAAAAAGTTAAGTAGGTATACTTAGCTACAAGTTCAGTACAAATTCAACTAATAGCCGACAGCCGAGTTTTATCATTGTGCCTCGACAATTTACTGCAATCCCAAAATGTTTATTAAATATTATTTTTTATATTAACGCTGCTGCTCTAATTATTTTAACAATAATAATTTATGTGTAAAGCTTACATTATTGAAACTACGAGTACATAAAAAAAAAATTGCGGTGACCAATGGCGAAACATTTATGCAAGTGAATCTTATAATATAATTTAATAAAAAAAGTTCTGCATCGGCTGAGTATCGAATCTGGGCCACCCGCGTAGCAGGCGTGCTTACTTAAACTGAGCCAAATATACTTGTTGTTAAGGTCTGTTTTTTATTATAATCATAAATGTATGTGTTCACTTTAATAACCGTAAATCGGGAACTATTTTTTCGGAACCTTTGGAACAGAAGACAGGGCCGCTGCCGAAAACTAAATACATACATAGAAAAATACATACGATTAAAAAACAATAGGTAATTTTAGCTACAACTAACCTTAATTAAACCAGTACCCCTAGCACGAACAAATATCGAATTCAAATAGTTTGCAAATCGAAGTGTCAATGTCAAATTTTATATGGAAACTTGAACAGCAGCGCCACTTTGAACGTAACGGGAACTAAAAATCAGTACACATTTGACAATGACATTTCGGACTCGCAAATGATACAAATTCGAATTTGGTTCGTGCTAGCTAGGGGTACAGTACTAGAATTAGAAACATTTCAAAGCTACTAGTATTTTCCCTTCGTATGTGTTTTGATCTATGATACGCGCTGGCCAATACTTTTAATTTTTATTTCCATTCATTAACTGGCAACTCAAAGCTTTCACTGAATGATGAATAGAATAAAAATATTTTCCAGCGCGTCTACCCAGTGAATGGAATCCAGCCTTGGGCTATCGAATATATTAGCCGTTACGATACTATTCTCTAACGTATATGTATTTACAAAGATATTGTCTGCTCTGACACAAAAACACCCGCTGTGTCATGCGAAACCTTTGTACTCGATGGCATGCCGTCCTATCGAGGTTGACACAATTGTGTTAATTCGATATCAACTGTTTTAACCTTAGAGTATGCATTAGTTTTAACCAATCAGGTTTAGGGATAGATTTTTAGTATCTGCGTATGCGTGTCAACTAAACTTTGAATTATTGTACGTGAGATTTTCGCAGGTTTTTGATAGAGTCTGTGTGGAAAGAGAATGGGATTTAGATTGGAGGGTACCGTAGTGTTATTCTACCGTATTTGTAAGGTTTTACCCCTTTTAGACATGATTAAATACATAAAACCGCAAGAAATCACAACAACAAACAAATCTGTATCAATACAAAACTTTGACGTTTTACAGATTGCTGGGTTTGATTGCCAAATAAAAATCTTAATGTTAGTTCCGTTTTTCGCCACGCCCATTCTATTTCCGCGCAGACTCTACAGTCCACGTTATTCTTCTCCCACACACTATTTAGCGTTCGAAATTCGAATTTAGTTCTATCTTAATGATATTCGGGTTGAGTGCCACGCATAAAAGAGATTGTGGGAGATGATAAATTTGTATGTGCAGCTGAAGGAGCTTATGTACTTACGATGGAACTAGTTCAAATTTCGAACGCTAATTTTAGCGCATTTTAGCACCAAAGTTTCTAGTCGGAGAGTCGGCCGTATAAAAGTCGTATGGATCAGATATATAGGCTGGCTGTATAGGCTCTTTTATTCTTCAAACTAAGTCGACAGTTAGATCCGGGCAAACAAAAGGTGTCGACTGTTTTTTCAGTTATTTGAGAGGTTCTAGTTTCAGAAAATCGTAAACAAATCCATGTATTCGATGACTTAAGATAAATTAAAAAATATATATTTATAATGGTGGTCGACTCAGGGTAGCGAATAAATAGAGCTTGTCGACCCTTGACATTTCTATTCTACTTATCAAAAACTTTCATTTGACATAAATTTTCTTGATGTATTTCATAAATTATAATAACACCTAAAATAATAACCAGAAGTGATGTCATCATTTTGCATGCGGGCAAAATCAAGCAACTTCCGAGGTGTCGACCGCTAGACTATGGCTTTATTGTTCATACCCCAAAAATGATTCATGTATCTGATCCATAGGACTTTTATACAGCCGGCTCTCGGACTATTCGGCGCGTAGATGAAGGAGAAGCATTAGATGCAAGATAATGATTAAAGGTGCTAAACTTTATGGGATAGTATAAGATTTTTTGTTCTTGATGGCGCAGTGGATACTACGTTTGGTCTGTGATCGTGACGTCTTTGTATGCGAACGTGAATCGAATTGTAGCATAATGATAGTAATACAATTTAATTATATGGTAAATTTGATTTATTTTGCCTACAGGAGGATGTTCTGCATTCGGTCACTCGTGTTTCGGAGGGCACGGCAAACGATCTGGCGATACTGCTGTTATGGACGTAAGTTGGAGAATATCATGAAATACAAACGTATTCTTCTTTAGATTTAATTAGGGATGGGCAAATTAAGAAATATGTTGGTATATCGATAAAGTAGAGTTAAAATATCTATATTTCAATTTATCGACTGGGATTGATGATCTGGGATCTTTAAAATTTTGAATTGGATACAAATTTGATAATCGGTTTAAATATAAGAGATTATAGGTAATTAAAACGTTAAGATACCACGACGACTAATAACAATTATATTCCGAAAAAAAATCGATGTTTTGATATATCGATATTTTTTACCCAAGCGCAGATTAAATAATATTTAGTCAGCCGTTCAGTTGGTGATTGTTGATCAGTCTTTATGGAAAATAAGCAAGGAAAGACGAAAGATTTTTTAGTCTTCTTATATGTATATATAAGGTTATTTATTCAAATATATTTATGTCACTAATTTAGCTTTTAACTCTTTGAGTGCAAGTATCTACAAATTTTTTGATCGTTTCGCAAATCTTGATTTATCATTTTATTTATCTCAGCTAGTCATATTTTATTTTTCAATTCTTAATTTAATTTCTATGAACTGATTTTAACATAGTCTTATTTTTGTCCCACTTTTAATTATTTTCTTTATTTTATACTATCAATGCCCCGCGGTGTTACCCGCTTATTATAAGGGATATTTTCCCGCAGTAACACGTTGCCTATGTGTTAACCCAGGGTGTCAGCTAATTCCATACCAAATTTTATTAAAATCGCTCTAGCCGTTTAGACGTGAAAAAGTAACAAACATACATAATCACACACTCACAAACATTCGCTTTTATAATATTAGTGTGATAAGCAGCTCAATCAAGATTCGGTTCAATTAGATAGAGAAAAAATATGTTAAAAAAATAAATAAAATATATTATCTCTTATCTATTAGACAAGTCCGTCCGTCCGTCTGTCTGTGGTGCTGTTTCAGCGGCCAAACCGTAAGAGATAGATAAAGAGAATATTTAAGTTATAAGTTAAGAATAGTCTGATAAGACTACAAACCGGATTTGAGTAACGTAGCACTTCCGGTTTTCGAGAAATCACGAATTTCAAACGAAACCACACAAAATCTCCGAAGTTTTAGAAAGAACTAATTAAATACATTTTTTTTAAATCAGGTTTTGGTGAACATTTGGTTCACTGGTTTGCTAGTAGCTATTAACGGGATAGTTAACATGTTTTTTATGAGTCTCCGATATTTCGGCACTGTTGCAAACGCCATATGTGTGTGTGTGTATACAATATATACATATTTCATTTACTAGCTATAAGAGAAAGAGGGAAAGAAAATGTACGCGCGCACTGCTTTCTCTTGCTTATATCCCCCACTCAACTCCCGTTCGCCTCGCCCGATCACACTTTTCGTAACGCGTTCGCCAGCTTACTCCCCAAGCCAAGCGTGCGTAAAGAAGTTTTACTTCAAAAACGACTTCCGTACATCGTTCGTTTGCCCCCAAACGAGCAGATGGCTCATCGCGTCGTAACTGATCACCATCACCCATACACGTCTGCAAAATTTTCTTTTCTGTGAATTCTTCAGACACTTGCGAGTTGTAATTAATTAAAACGTTGCCTGTGTAGATTCTTGCGTTGCGAATGTCCCGTGCTCGGACGGGCATGAGGCCTGAATAATTTATAGTATCACACCATAGTCGGCGCGAAGGGAGGCATTGTACGGGGGTCGATTTATATTGCACTTGAATATAAATACGATATTTATATGTTCACTAGCGGCCCGCCCTCGCTTCGCTTCGGTGTAGAGCTGAAGTGTAGAGTACAGTTTTTGTTCTCAGGCTTGTATTATACATAATGACATTCATCTATGATTCTTCTTATACCTACATGCAAAGTCTCAGCCCGATCGGTTTAAAATTGACAAAGTTTCATACAAAGTTTCATTCCTATTTTATCCCCTTGGGGGTAGAATTGATCAAAATGCTTTCTTAGCGGATGCCTACGTCATAACATCTACCTGCATGCTAAATTTCAGCCCGATCCGTCTAGTGGTTTGGGCTGTGCGTTGATAGATCACTATGTCAGTCAGTCACCTTTGAGTTTTTATATATGTATATAGATATATATAGATATTGACTTCAAACACGGTATTAATTTAAATGTTAGGGGTGGACAATCCTTTTCACTTAGGGGTCTGAAAAATAGATAGTAGCCGATTCTCAGATCAGCCGATATTCTGAATATGCATATAAACATTCATGAAAATCGGTCAAGCCTTTTCGGAGGAGTATGGTAACTAACATTGCGACACGAGAAAGAATTATATATGTATCGTATATGTATTCTATTCGTTACCCTAGTATCCCATAACACAAGCTTACAGTGCTTACTTTGGGGTTAAGCTAATTGGTGTGAGTGTTGGAAATATTAAATATATAAATAAATATGTACCAGTGCTTCGGGAGGCACGTTAATCGCCAATGCGCACTGGGCTCGCGTGGTGGGTATGGCTCAATCTCCCTATTCCATCCATAAGGAAGGCCTGTGCCCCAGCAGTGGGGACATTAATAGGATGATGATGATGATATGTATCAGTATTTATGTATTTTACCCGTTACTCCAGTATCCCAAAACAAAAGCGTTACAGTGCTTCCGTTAAAATATATATCAAAATATGTATACAGTTTTTTACCTGCCACCAGTTCAGGAGTTCTTTTAGCTATGGAGGAGAATTGTAAAAAAAAAATCTTTATCAGAAATTATTTTCTATGGATTTAAATGGATTGTTGCAGACAACTGCTGAGCTTCGTCGTCAGTTGGGACAAGAGGAGACGCCACCGCATCCTGTTTACCCCCACTCTGGCTACAGCGGACTCCTGCCACCAGGCGATGACATTATACCTGTGAGAGATGGCGGTGAGTCAGGTGGTGGTTTTGGATCCTCGCAACGACCGTAGAAACGAAAACCGTTTTCGATTTTCGAAAAATTGAACGCGACGGATCCGACTGCGCCAGTTAAAGCAGAGCCGAGAAAGGAGTTTAAAAAATATACTTTTTTTATAAATTAATCTGTGTAGTGTACAATTTTTGGCAGCTCCGCGATAGAGGCCGGTTGACATAATAATAATCAAATAAAATTAAATATTGAACAGATTTGTGTTGCAGTGTCAGCGATTCAACGTTTGTGGAAATTAATCTGCTGACGCTGTAACATGAATTTAGAGCAAAACAATTTAATTGAGAAATAACAAAAATTATTAAGGTTAAGGCTAGGACTACACAATTATATTTTAAGATAGGTATAAACTAATTATTAAGGATTTTATCAATTTGAACATACAGGGTGTAAAAAAACCTTTAACGAAGTCGAAGGCCACGTATTTTCCACGTCATGACGATAATTTTTTTCTTCTGAAACTTTTTGATCGACGCACTGACACACACGCACACACATACATACAGGAACATTCTTTCCGTAGCGCCATAGTAGCGCGCCGCGCTGTACATTGCGTACTGGAAAAACATTGTATTTTTTTAACTTAAAAATATTTTTTTTTCCACGTATAATATTTTGTTTGGGTGTACAGAATGCGTAGTTTGAGTCTTTGTCATAGAATTTTTTACACCCTGTATAACAAGTCATCAAATTACAATTAGACACAACGGATGTCTGAATTTGAACTTTTTGTTCATGCCTGCGTCTGTTTTTTCTTGACCGTTATAACTTGTGTCTCTGACGAGGTTATCTATCTGTGCATGCTCCATTGAAGCCTCCATTCTTGTTTGCAATCAGGTGATATCGGAGACAAACTCACAAATAAGAAAAAATGTAATTAGATCGCCCATTTGAGTAAGTTATCTCAACCTTACAGAACACTGCAGTAAAATAACAAAATTTAGTGATGTTGTATTCCTGTCGGTGTTTAAGGTTTCAGGGCTCCATGGGGGAAGGAAATATTGAATTTAAGTAACTTTCGCAGTGGTCGGTCATTGGATGGGGACCGAAAATTTACTATCTCGAGCTCCTCCGTGCTTCGGAAGGCACGTTAAGCCGTTTGTCCCGGCTGCATCTGCAGGCGTTAGCACCCATCAACCCGCACTGGGCCCGCGTAGTGGGTCATGGCCCAATCTCCCTATTCCATCCATAGGGAAGGCCTGTGCCCCAGCAGTGGGGACATTAATAGGCTGATGATGATGATGATGATGAGGCAACGTTGTGAGTGATATGTTTGGTATCGCAAGCGTTTGTAGGTTAGGTTAGGTTAGGTTAGGTTAGGGGCCATACGCTTTTTTGCCACCCTGTCAACATAAAAATAATAAATTTGTTTCTTAGGTTTTCACGCACATCCCTCATTAAATAAAACAAGTTTCAACGGAGTAGAAGCACTGATTTTATTTATTTATTGACGTTTTGAGGAGAAAGGAAGCCTCTCTGAGTTTGTTTCACCGGTTCATCTCAGAAAGGTCCCCCAATTTTGAAACCAGTTAGGGTCAAATAATATAAACTCTCGAGGAGCTCGATGGCGCGGGTGGTTAGCACGTTCGGCTGCGATCGTTGAAGTTAAGCAACTTTCGCAGTGGTCGGTCATTGACCCATCCAATGACCAAAAATCTTCTATCTCGAGTTCCTCCGTGTTCCGAAGGCACGTTAAGCCGTTGGTCCCGGCTGCATCTGTAGTCGTTAGCACCCGCTAATCCGCACTGGGCCCGCGTGGTGGGTCATGGCCCAATCTTAGTTTAAACTATTCAAGTCACAACTTGTTAATGCTCAGAGATTGATGCATTTATTGACACGTTTGCTAGCGTCTAGTGAGTCAAGTTATTCATTTTGTAGTTGTGTACTAACACACTATTTCACTCACTCGCTCTGTAGTTGTAAAGAAACTGACATAAAATTTGAATTAAAACGGCGAAGGCGATGCCGTCAGTAAGAGCGAAATGAAACCCTTTAAAAATAGCTTAATTGATTCAAAACCTATTTGATTTGGCTTTTTAGGAAAACTGGTTATTTTAAGGTTAAGGTAGAGCCAAACCTCGTAATGTATTTGATACTGATTTAGGTTTGAAAATTAACCGGTAAAAGGGCCCTGGTTACGGTTCCAGCTCGCTAATAAGTGCCCGGCTTCAGAGGTCTCGGGTTCGAATCCCGGTGGGGCGGATGTTTGTGTGATGAATACAATCATTTGTACCTAAGTCATGAATGATTATATGTACTAAATAAAAATAAATTTTTATATACGTATCATACGTATCAGTATATGTATTTTATCCGTTACGTTGGGGCCAGATTAATTGTCGTATGTGTTAAAAGTATTGATTTATATAAGTCATGAATCTATAGTTTTGAGTATTGCATACCGAAATCCACAAAGAGGCAGACGTCCCCTGTAACAACAGCTGTTGGCAAATGCATGCAAACGTAATTTGCTGTCTGCCACCAAACTTCGGTACTGAATGAGTTAAGAGTGACTTCATTAACTATTTCGTGGTTAGTTTAGAGACGATCCAAACAATATGACAATGTTATCGACATTACTTTTGGAAATATGCAACCTGCTCTGCAGTATATATTTAATATGAATAGTAAAATTAGTTATCTTTCTATTGATATATCATACATAAAGAATATTGACTAATTAATACGTGAAAAACAGGTATGCAAAATAATTTTTAGATGTGCGATTTTTATGGCGTCGAGTTTATTATACGTGTATGAAAAAATAAATTAGATGGACGTTAAGTGGAAAAAATAAGAACTATGATTATGACAGGCTTTTGTTTAGTTTGATTATACAATAATATAGGTCCTTGCAGTCAATTCATCACCTAGCCTAGTTAGTAATTATGATAGTTTTTTCATTTTAATGCCTGATTAGGTGCGGCTAAGATATACAGGGTGTAAAAAAACCTATGACAAAGACTTGAACTACGCATTCTGAACACCCAAGCAAGACATATTACAAAATATTATAGGTGGGAAAAAATTTGTATTTTTAAGTTAAAAAAAATCATTTTTTTTCCAGTTCGCAATGTATAGCACGGCATTTTACTGTGGCGCTACGCAAAGAATGTGCCTGTGTGTATGACTGTGCGTGTGTGAAAGTGCGTCGATAAAAAAAGTTTCTAAATAACGTTTTGAAAATATTGTTGTATAAATCTTGAAAAAAATATTTTGGCTTTGATACCATATATTTCCCAGGTATGGTCCAGAAGAAAAAAATGGTCGCCATGATGTGGAAAATACGTGGCCTTCGACTTCGTTATAGGTTTTTTTTACACCCTGTATGTACCTACTAAACTACTTTTATTACAGCCGAAAGTTGAAGCACATCGTTGCAAAAATTAAGTTCATCTTTAAGAATTACAACGTGAGTCTAACTTTGTAAAGACTAGAAGAAAGAGAAATCAGAGATTCAGCACCCCACAAAAATTTGATACCTAGTTCTATTCTGGAATATTTTTTTATATTTAAATTAATGTAATACCTATTTGTTTTGATTGGCAGGTGTTTACGAGAGAGAAGATAGCGCCAGGGAAGCTGTTAAATTCAAGCTCAGGAATTTCGTGAAGCAATGGGTAAGAAGGACTTAGCTTAAGCTATAGCCTTTAAATTCAATCTAATTTCGTATGATTATATATATAACTGATTTATGCGAAATATCACAAGATATAAGCGTTCTTCTTTCTATTGGCATTCATTGGCTCATTTTGTTCAAGAATACTTAATTTCACAAGTTTAGCTGAGGTTTTTATTTGCATCATTTTGGTAATAGGGGTGATGACGGAGTAAACGAAATTCTAATAAGTCCGTCAGTTAGATGATCAAAAAATAATGGACACGTATTTTTTCTTTGGGCAATCAACCAAAAAATGACAAAGTTTGGGAGTAGGGGCTCGTGACGTTTTAAGTAAAAATTGTACAAAAACGTGACGAAATCAACCAAAAAACTCGCATGAGACTATTCAAATCAATATATCTCTGCAATGTTTATATTATGTGAAAAAAGAAAAAATACGTGTCCAATACTTTTTGATAATCTACCTGATAAACGAAGAAAAATAATTAGTCATCATCCCTATTCCACACGGATTTTAAATCACACAATTCACAAACAGTGCTATTCTGTAAGAACAAGCTCTTTTTTCGCCGCGGAATTAGCCGGTGTGATTTCAAATGTATTTGAAATTCGTGTTCTAATTTTATATCACACTGCGGATGCCGAGTTGAAAAGTGAGTTTGTACTTATAGAATGCAAACTGCAGGTACCACGCAATTAAGTGAAATCCATACAGTGGGGGCAAATAATCTCCCTATTCCATCCATAGGGAAGTCCTGTGCCCCAGCAGTATGGACATTAATAGGCTGATGATGATGATACAGTGGGGGCTTGACTGAACTGCACAAAATTTTGCCAAATATGTTAAATGTGATAATTTTAAAAGTTTAATTAAACAATAGTATTTATTATGCTTAATATTTTTTTGTTGTTTTTAGATGGATAACTACAGGCGGTCGCAACAAAACAACGACGACTCTTACATAATTGATAACTTGTAAAATACGCAAACGTCTCAGTACCCATGTTATACTTAAGTAGAGCATATATCTATGAAGTCCAAAATGTCCATCAGAAAGAGCTTGTGTTTATGTCAACATTGCTATCTTTTAAAGAAACAGATTTGAAACTCCAATTTGGAACACTTTTTATGTAGAAGAATTCTTTTTAAGCAACTTGTAAGCAATTGAAATAATAGGTTTATTTTCTACAATCAAAATTCTTTACTACATTTACAGCTAATTTGAACAGAACCAGTTTATTAAATCAATAAGAGGAACTGTGTGTAAATTTTACATTTTCCTCCCAAATTTTTATTCGCTGAATTGAATACCTAACTGTAATTTTAATAAATATATTTACTGTCTTTTCGGATAAAATGATTTATATGTTTGATACTAACGCTTTGGTATTTTCTATAAAATGTATTTTTTACAATAAAAAAATATTTTATACAGTTGACCAGTGTTCTGTTCTATAAATGACATAGTACAAGCTCTTTTGCGAATAAGTAATATGATTTTGTGACAAAACTATGTCTGAAATATGAAAGAAAAAAAAAACAAATGTATTTCTTGTCAATTATTGTGTAAAATTTTAAAAAGGGTCGGATAATAAAATCGCTAGTAATTTGAAATTTCTATACTTAAAGCAATTTCTATTTCGTATAGATCTTTTAACTCGGTTACTTGAGTGAGAGAAGTTTTTGAAATTTTGTTTAATATCTTGTTATGTTTTTGGTGATTTTTGCAAGCGACCCTTTATTTTGCTCGTCAGTGTATATTCGACATGTTGTATAGATAAATTCGATATATTTTTCTTAAGGCTGGTTAAGCGTTATATTGAAAATCTTATAAATGTACTTTATTAATGTTATGTAAAAAACCTTATACCATTTCATCTGTTAGCTGAGATTATATTTTGAAAGTTTTCGTGTGAATTGTTACCATAGCTTCAACTTAGATTATAACATAAGTTTACCATCAGAATAAATTACATATTATATGAATAAAAAAATAGTAGATGACTGTCTCTGTTACGAAATATTATAGAAATGTTTTTCCTATTGAATAAATGGTTAGTACAACAATATTGCAGTTGTGTTTTTTATTTAAGCATTTGACAGCTAGATATTTATACACTAATCTACGATGGTAGCCGTTTGTAGAGGCGGATCAAATAAATAAGTGGCCAACACTTAACTTGATATACTATATATTTTATGGTATAAATATAAAACTTACTAAATAGGTATAAAGTACAGATGAATGATTGGTCTGAGACCAAGTTGCTTTACAACTTACTATACTAGCGGCCCGCCCTCGCTTCGCTTCGGTGTAGAGCTGAAGTGTAGACTACAGTTTCTGTTCTCAGGCTTGTATTATACACAATGACATTCATCTATGATTCTTCTTATACCTGCATGCAAAATCTCAGCCCGATCGGTTTAAAATTGACAAAGTTTCATACAAACTTTCATTGCCTATTTTATCGCCTGGGGGGTAGAATTGATTAAAATCCTTTCTTAGCAGATGCCTACGTCATAACATCTACCTGCATGCCAAATTTCAGCCCGAGCCGTCCAGTGGTTTGGGCTGTGTGTTGATAGATCGATATGTCAGTCAGTCAGTCAGTCACCTTTGAGTTTTATATACATATATAGATTCCGTCTCATTGGTCACAGATCAATCATTCAGTCTCATTGGTCTCAGACCAATCATTCATCTATGGTATAAAGTTAAGAAATATGAATATAGTCCAGCAGATTCAGCACTAAATTATAAAATGCAATGCTCTTAAAATACAATGTAACTTACCCCGTGTTGGGTTGAAAATTAATTATTTCAAAACATTTTGAATCGTACCGAATGAAATTAGAATATCATAAAATAGTCCTTTCTTTTACGAGGTCTCTGCTGGATTGTGGCTGGCTGACAATAAAAAAAATTTTGGACAGTCATAATTCGTACCAAATAAAACCATAAACGAATATTTTAAAATTAGTTGTGGCCAATAAGGTCTCATATGAGGAAATAAACAAGAAAAACGCTATGCCCCACCGTCACAAGTCTAGCATGAGCCTTTAGATCTGCGCCGGGTCGAGAGGCCTAGTGATCAATAGCGTACTAATACTTCATAAAAATAATAGTAATATATAGATATGTTTTTTTAAGCATTTAACTGCTAGATGTTTAAATCTTAGGAAAAGTTTTAATAGAAAAAATCCACGCAGACCAGGCAGCAGACGGGACTCGCACCCTTCGCAATCCGGGCGAATGCACTGACCAATTATGCTACCGCGGCCCTGATGGCCGCCTCGAAATTTTCCTATCCTTAAGCTGCAAGTCAGCGCCATTTCTTCGCATTGTAGGTAATCCACGGATTGCGAAGGGTGCGGGTTCGAGTCCCGTCTGCTGCCTGGTCCGCGTGGATTTTTTCTATTAAAACTTTTCTTAACATATAGATGTTTTAAATCAATATCTCTTCGAGGCTGGTGCATTATAAAAATGAAGATATAGTTAGGAAGTTATATATATATATATATATATATACATTATTCTTATATTAGAATCTCGACAGTGCTATTTTTTGTATTGGTGCTAAGCTCCTTAGTCTCAAATCCCAGGATTGTCGACAGTCCTCAAGCTGTTGAATTTATATATATATATAACAGTATTTATTCCTGAAATCCCTATTGATAAATCCCCACCAGTGGGGATTCTTACAACCTATAAACGAATGCTTTGCTTCAATTCTAATATTGTAGTAATAAAAACTTGTGTGCATAATTTATTTTTTAATCATCAACAACCACTTACTTATTTCGATGCTTTTTAAGGAAATTATTGAAGTAAAATAATCTTATTTTTAATTTAAAGGTCTACTCTGCTTAAAATAATTTATATCAATGACATTCGTACATTATCTGAAATAATAATTGACGCGCGCGTAGACAGGTCAATTTACAAAGTCCCTGCTTTAATTGGTCTTATTAGTTCAATTAGTTCATGCAGACGAAGCCTAAGGCCCGTATTATAGAAAGATTCTCAGTAATTAATCTAGTCTTGAGCATAGTTAGAAAGGGATGTCGCTATATATAGCACATAGCGACATCCCTTTCTAACTGTACTCAAGTAAAGATCAACACTTATTTGTCATTCTGTAATACGGGCCTTACTGTTTTGTCAATTTTAAGTCAATTTTGGTGAAAAAAAGTAGTATTTGACTATGCATCTGTAAATTGTGGTTGATTTGTTATAAAGTTCTTCTTTTTTAATATCTCCTATCATAATAATGTGACTAAAAGTTATGTTCTTGTTTGATTGTCTTCAACGGTATATTAACATCGATAAAGTCATTAGAAATTCTATAATAGAAACGCAAAACACGGCATTTGCTTTGCTATCACTTGAAAGAGTATTTTTCACCATAACTAGAAGACGATAAATAAAAAACAAATAAAAAAAAGTATTGTTTTCGGCATTCCACTCTTAATAATAATAATTCATTTATTTCAGGCAACTGTGATCCATATTTGTTAGTAGACTTATTCTATGTTAGTAGTATATGTTTTGTAGAAATAATCGATTAAGACAGTACAACATGATTGAAAGCAACTATCCAATTTGTTGGCTACAGTCATTAGGATGGTATTTGAGCTTGCTCGTATTCTGCTCAGCAATGAAGCTATTTTTTGCGCATGCACGCGTGAAACCCGTCAGTGCGATCCTCGGCAAACATACCAGAGGCACTACAGAATCGTGGCAAACCTAACAGCATCCTAAACGCATTATTATATTGTACGTTTAAATAATGTAAGAAGAAACAATTAATAAACGTGGTCAATCAAAATGTTCCCAACTCAGCAAATGTAGTCAACAATCATCAATTGCAACTCTGATTTTCGAGGTATACATAGCCTTAGATATAATACTTCCCCCTGATCTGCCTGATGCCCTACGACAACGGCCAACTAGAACCGAGGTCCGATGCTCAGAGACGCCATTATAAACTTGTTAGATGGTTCATACGTCAGATATAAGTTTTTTAACATAAAATCTATCTATTATCTCTCTACACCCTTTCGGGTGGCAAACAAACATGGTTAGACTGATGGGTAAGCGCAAGCGACCACCACAGCCTAAAGACACTTTCGATACCAAAGATATCATTCGCGCCGTCGCCTACCCTCAACTACAATCGCCTTTTCCGTGGATTCCTGGAACCTTTATTTCTAGTGAAGCTGTCAGAACTCCGCGGCGTTGGGAATAGAATGGATTTCAGTGAATTATGACATACTAGCTGTGCCCCGCGGTGTTACCCACGGTTAATTAGGGATGTTTTCCCGCAGTAAAACGTAGCCTATGTGTTAATCCAGGGTGTCAGCTAACTCCATACCAAATTTTATTAAAATCGCTCCAGCCGTTTACACGTGAAGAAGTAACAAACATACACACTCACAAACTATCGCCTTTATAATATTACTGTGACTAGCTGTGCCCCGCGGTGTTACCCACGGTTTATTAGGGATGTTTTCCCGCAGTAAAACGTAGCCTATGTGTTAATCCAGGGTATCAGCTAACTCCATACCAAGTTTTATTAAAATCGCTCCAGCCGTTTACACGTGAAGAAGTAACAAACATACACACTCACAAACTATCGCCTTTATAATATTACTGTGATTTCTGCTGGAGTATATAATTATAATGAACTGTTATCGCATTCGAATAGTTTGCGAGTCCGGAATGTCACTGTCAAATTTTGTATGAAAACTTGAACAGCAGTTCCACAAAGTACGTAACGAGAACTAAAAATCAGTACCGATAGCACGAACCAATATCGTTTTCGAATAGTTTGCGAGTCCGAAATGTCAATGTCAAATTTTGTATGGAAACTTGAACAGCAGCACCACAACGGACGTAACGAGAACTAAAAATCAGTACACATTTGACAATTACTTTTTGCACCCTCTAAACTATTCGAATTTGATATTGGTTCGAGTTAAGGGTACTGGACTTACATACTATAAGAATAAAGCCATTAAGCTGTAAGTCCACTGACTCCTGCTAAGCAACTGATAGTGTTGCGGTTTTAAAAATATAAAAAACTAATGTCCCACCCTTGCTTTGCTTCGGCGTGGACTATCGTTTTTGTGCTCAGGTTTGTATTATTATACACAATGACTTACTAATGTAAGTAAGTATATCTGATATTATTGATAGAATATATTATATTATAGATAGTAGTATCTTTTCAGCTTTATGATTAATATCATTAGTTTCAGTTTTCAGATTGTTTGTTAGTTTTTGTTGAAAGCACAAAAATCATGAAAACCGGTCCGATTTGAAAAAAAAAAATGTGTTGGATAGTGCACCGAGGAAGGCTGTAACGCTATATAACATCACGCTATGACCTGTGGGACAGTAACCATAAGCACAAATCAATATCGAATTCGTAACGTTTGCGTGTCCGAAATGTCATTGTCAAATGTGTGCTGATTTTTAGTTCTCGTTACGTATTTTGAGGCGCTGCTGTTCAAGTTTCCATACAAAATTTGAGATTGACATCTCGCACTCGTAAACTATTCGAATTCGATATTGGTTCGTGCTACGGGTACAGATTTTTATTCTCGTTACGCACTTTGTGGAACTGCTGTTCAAGTTTTTATAGAAAATTTGACATTGACATTCCGGACTCGCAAACTATTCGAATGCGATAACGGTTCATCAAATATACTCCAGCAGAAATCACAGTAATAAACTCAAATTGAATTTCAACTCAAACTCATTTATTCAGTCTAGGCTGTTACAAGCTCTTGTGAAAGTCAAACGCTACGCCATCAGTTCGCGGCGGGAGACCTTGTACTAAGAAAAACCGACAAGAAACTCAGCAAGGGCTATTTTTAATATTATAAAGGCGATAGTTTGTGTGTGTGAGTGTGTATGTTTGTTACTTCTTCACGTGTAAACGGCTGGAGCGATTTTAATAAAATTTGGTATGGAGATAGCCCCTGGATTAACACATAGGCTACGTTTTACTGTCAAATGTGTACTGATTGTTAGTTCTCGTTACATACTTTGAGGCGCTGCTGTTCAAG